TGACAGCTTTTCTTTAATTATTGACAGCGCCATAGTCTCCCCCTCCCCTCACGTCAAGAGTCTGGGTGTCATCATCGACAGCTCACTTTCTTTTCAAGCTCACATTAATAACATATTTCGGTCAACATACTTCCGTCTACGTTCCATAAACGTCTACGTCTCCGCCCCTCCCTGACCCCTCACACTGCCGCCATTCTCGTCCACAGCCTCGTCACCTCCTGTATCGACTATTGCAATTCACTTCTTTATGGTCTCCCCAACAAACTCCTTCATAAACTACAACTGCTCCAGAATTCAGCAGCCCGTATTATCACCAGAACCCCTTCCTTTCACCACATCACCCCGGTTCTCCAACAGCTTCACTGGCTCCCAGTGAAATTCAGGTCCATCTTCAAAATTCTCCTCCATACCTTCAAAGCAATCCACAACCTCTCTCCTCTATATATCTCAGACCTTATAAGTATTCACTAGGGATGCACCGATCAGGTTTTTTGCTGCCGATCACCGACACCTATATCAAAGAATGCTGATCACCGATACCGATCACCGATACCGATCACTTGGATTGGCCAGAAATTTTCTACAACATTATAATGAGTGCAACAAACTACATAATCTGGGAATAAAGGAAATGTAACCTAATCTAAAATGGTCTGTATTAGGGTTGTCACGGTGTGAAAATTTAACCTCACGGTTATTGTGACCAAAATTACTATGGTTTTCGGTATTATCGTGGTATTCTTTTTTAAACGTGCTACATTTTCACACAATTAAATAAACCCTGTATGTCAGGAAATATTGTCCTCAGTTTGTGTCTAAATTTAGCCTAAAATGTGTTATTTTGTAATTATGTTGTTTATTTGTTTACATTTTTTCCCTTTAGTCTTCAAAATACCAATATTTGCCCATAACTTCTTATTTTATGTCTGTTTGATGTTATCATTTAAAAATATTAGATCAGATGATACTCAGTACTTAAGTAGCCTTCTAATCAGATACTTTTTTTCACCCTTACTTGAGTAATAAACCCTATATCAGGAAAATATTGTCCTCTGTTTGTGTCCTTCCAGTGAGCTTTGCAGATGTGGGAAAATGGCATCAGGCAGTAATCATTGTTAAATTCATAATTATTCTCGGAGAGAGACCAACTCTTATCTGCCCCTGGGAGCCCCGTAATGCATAGCGTCATTTCAACATGGCGGTGTCCACGACATGGTTTATATGCAGGTAGCGGCGCTGCGGCTGCTTTATATAGCGAATCGTTGCATTCTCCCTAAACCCAAATCCTCGGATCACCTATTTTAGCTAAAACGCTAACGTTAGTCTGCCTTGCATTGACTGTAGAGTTGTGGGTGATTGTCACGCAGATGTGTCATGAGATTTGAAGCTTTGCTGCCTTTCACAGACTTTTTCTGCACGTGCTGCAAACAGGATAGCCGTCTTCTATAAACTCCCTCTGCATTCTTCAAATATCTAAAATATGCCCATACTTCCGACTTTGTCTTCTTTGACGGATAATAAATGTCCTCCTGAGCGCTTCCGTCTCCTCCTTTGGCCATTATTTCAGCTTTAGCTTCAAGAAAGTTTTGGTTGTAAACAACAAAGTGTGCATGTGCCGCCGGCAACTTCAGCAGATGATACGGTGGCTGGTAAGGGTCACCGCGCCTACACCGCAGCCACGGTAAGCACCAAGATAATATAGTTTTTTTTTTAAAAACAAGACGGTTATTATTATTGTCAACTTTTTTTTTACCGGGGTTTATCGCTACACTGGTTACCGTGACAACCCTACCTGATCGGTCTGCTTTGATCTATTTTGAAAATTCCGATCAAAACCGATAGAGGCGCTATCGGCCGATTACGATCAAATGCCGATCCATCGGTGCATCCCTAGTATTCACACCCCATCCCGTTCGCTCAGATCTTCTTCTTCCATCCATCTTGCGGTTCCTTCTGCCCGTCTCGCTACCATGGGGAGCAGAGCTTTCAGCCGCTCTGCTCCTCGTCTCTGGAACTCACTTCCCCCAGACATCAGGAACATCGACAGTTTTACCCTTTTCAAAACAAAACTCAAAACACATATGTTTAAATCTGCCTGCAACCTCTCATTTTATTGAACTGTTTCTCTCTTTGTTTTTTTTCTTGTTTGGATTTTATTATTGTTTTATTGTCTTTTATTAAGTGTTTTCTGTCAAGTGACCTTGGGTGTTCTGAAAGGCGCTTTTAAATCAAATGTTTTATTATTATTATTATTATTAGGTGCGCAAACAGGCATGCGCGGGATTTTCGAGATCTTGCGATACAGTCCGAGCAATAAATGCGGAAGTTAGATCCAAACACCCGTTGTGTGGGAGAAGCATTGAAATGAACTGTTTAATCTGCCTATCATTTGTGTTGAGATATCAGCAGTGTTTGGATCAACAAAGGGTGACTACTTTGATAGTGGAAACTGTATTTATGGCTTATTTTTGTGCATTTAAAGTTCAACCACCATTGATAGTTGTTAAAAGTTTTTAAACCTGTGCATATGAAACAAAAAAACGCGTTTTGTTTATCGATTTATTGTGAAATAATGGCAATTGTGCTTGCTCCCTTTCCTGTTGGGCAGTTGTGATTTCTGTCCATTGACTGCGGAGGTGCTCCGGCATCTGGCAAAAATAGGATCGATTCTATTTTTGCCGGACGGCGGGCGCCGCACGGCTGCAGTAGTGGAGCAGCTCTGATTGACTACAACAGGACCGTTTTTCTGCGGAGTTCGTGCCGGAGCGGAGCGGAGATAGTGGAATTTTGGGGTAAAGCTGATCTTCATCCACATACGTCACACGTCACGTGATCAGGAAGCAGAACATCCATGTGTTAGATTGTTTTGGGCCACTACTTTAACAAAAATGAGGCTCAAACCGGAAAAGCTTCTGCCGATCACAATTCAACAACAGATTATGAAAGAATGGATGACACTCGAAATGCGCTGATTCTTCCTGATGTAAGAGGTGAGTCTCCGCTTTGTTTTGGCGTTGACATCAACCTAGCATGTAACGTTCTGTGACTCTTAATAAAACAGTAAAAACGGTGAGAAACGTTGGCAGCGAAGGGCTTTACCGATCAGGAAATGGCTGGCAGTGAATGAGTTAAGGAGCATTTGCACAGATTAACATGTATTACACACTGTTATAAGTGAATCAATCCCTAATGGTGAGGCATAAAGATGTCCTCCACTCATATGTTATAGAAGAAAATATAATTTCTATTGCACCTCTCAAGATAAAAATCACGAGGCTAACGCTCACACATGCACATATTAGTGTTTCTGCAGTGGTCTCTTGTAGGAACTTTGGGGACAAAAAGCTCTGATATACCTGTTTCAGCACAGAGATGTAGATTCAGACGACAAGTCTTACTTCCTGATATGTGGACATCTTTCCTCTGATCGGCTAACAGCAACAGGACTACCACTGACTGTTTGCTCTGTAACAATGTTTTATCTCCACAAATAACACAAGCCTGGAGGAGTTCTGCTGTGTGGTAGAGTTGCTAACGGTAAGCTTCTACTAGCTGAGACGTTCTCTGCTGTTTCCTGGAAGCTAAACCAACAACAGCCTTCCCCGTCGTGAGTCCAGATGGATAAGTCCATGAAAGTTAGTGACAGTGTGACGTACATCTGTCAGGATCTTCTAATCCTAGAGTTTCACCGTCTGTTTTCTATCAGAAGCTAATGCAGGAGATAGGTGTAGGAGACTATTTTCATGTTCAGTCTGCATGAAACACTCAGAGTGACCCGTTGTTTATGGTTGCTCAACGACGGACCTTTTAATAATAACACTATCTGTGGAGCTCCAGTCCACACAGTGGCAGCTCTTCCCTGAGCCGGTTAGACCAGCTGCAGCTTGGGCCAGCTGATGATTCAGTCTCATGTTGGTGCAGAAAAGCCTACGTCTCTACGTCCAGGTTCTCTTCTCACTGTTCTGTGTGGAAAACGCTTTATTGAGGCTAACGCTCACACATGCACATATTAGGTATTCATCGTGTGTCTCTGCTTTGAACAACACGTTTTCACATCATTGTCAGTTTCCCAGCATGCCCACTGTCACCAATGGACAGTTGATGAAGAAAAGAGTATATGCCCAACAGGAAGTGGAAACATTTCCATGTTCAGTTTCCTGCTGTAGAAGGTGTGTGCCACACTCGATACCTGAGACCCTCGGGGTCAAAGCTGTAGAACTGTTCAGAGACAAGGTCCAGTCCAGAGAGGACTCGGTTCACATGAGAACTATGGGTCAGAGCAACAACCCTGAGCTTCTAATAGAGACGGATCCAAACTTTTACCACTTAAAAAATTTGGACCTCAAGAACAAATAAAAGAAAAACATAAAAACAAAGTATCGCTGCTTTAAGGAGGTCCAAAAGCAACAGAATAACTCTTGAAGGTAAAACAAGGGCAGTTATAATAATAATCTCTCTCTCTCTCTCTCTCTCTCGCTCTAACACACGCACACACACACACACACACACACACACACAGCTGAATGTGCATTTTACACATTTGAACCAGCCTGTTCGGTTCTGCTCTCTAACTATTCGGAACCAAAATCCATGGACCAAGTCCAAATCTGCAGAAGCCTACAAAGACCCACGTGAATGGCTGGCTTTCCCGCTGCAGCACTAGATCTGTGCTTCTGGAGTCCATGCAGAACCCTCAGCCTCCTGCTTTAAGGGTGAACCCGAGCCAGAACAAAGCCAAGCAAAACCACACCGATCCGCTGGTTCTGCACAAAACGCCGCTCCCTCCCTCCTTTCCTCTATCTTTTTCACCCCCCACCCTCCTTTCCCTCCCTCTCTCCCTCCTCAATGCTTCTCTCTCTCTCTTCCCTGTCCTCCCCCCACTCTGGCCTGCCTGGCTGAATAATGCCCTGGCTCTCCTGATGGAGGGGGGAGAATGGAGGGAGAAAGCCTCGCTACAGCCCTGCTCTCTGCTCTCACACTGAGAATGAATGACAGCTTACCTGCATGCCAATCTTCATCAGACTGACACCAGGCTGACAGCACAGCCTATACTCCTCCACACAGCAGCTGACGTCACACACACAGGCTCCTCCCACCCCTTCCCCTTCTGCTGCTGCCTTCAGTGATCTGTGGGAAAAACCACTCTCGCAGGACCTGGTTTCCTGAAAAGACCGCGGTTGCTTGCTTTTGAAGGACAAATCCACTGGAAACTAAACAAACGGTCCAGATCTGTCTCTCCTGGAATCAGGAGTGCATTAAGCAATGCCACACACACACACACACACGCTGAAAACGCTTAAATAATGTGGCAGACCTAGTTTAATCTGAAGTACAGCATTAGAAAATCACTTTTTGTAGTCTTTGTTTGTTCAGGGGCCCATGAGCTGACCAGAGGAGGAAGGGTTCCCTGTTGTGGCAAAAGTTCCTTCATAACAGCAATGGCCGACTTGAACATTAAACAATTGTCCGCTCATTAGTTAGCAGCAGCATTCAAACTAACCAATGAGCTGCCCGTTCACCGCAGGAAAAGAAGTAACCTACAAAGTAGAGCTGAGAGGGGGAAACGTGCACAATGCTGAGAAAGTTTAAAAGAAAAATGCTGGAGGCACCAGAGGCTAGTAAAGAAGTGATGGCAGCCAGCAGAAAAAGCACACACCTCCCTTAGGTTGAGAGTGAGTACAGTCCCGAAGGAGGAAAGACACCTTTGTGTCCCTTACCTAAAGACTCTGGCAGCAGAAACAACTTAACGCTACTGGCCAGACTAGCATTGACGTTCAGTGCAACTACACTTAACCATTTATACAGAGGAACCAATTTCAGTTTTTTATTTTGTTAGGTGAGAAATCATAAAAAGTCTAAATCCTCTCCTTCAATCAGAGGATCGTGGAGCACAAATTTTGCTGAATGTCGTATTGAGGTTAGCATTTGTAAACACAAGTGCTGCTCAATAATTAGCTGAGTTTTCTTTAAATTTGTGGTGCCATTGCTTATGGATGATTGCATTTACAGCTGAACCCAACCCTCTGAGCCATGTCGGAGCCCTGTACACATTTCTAATTAACACAACAACATTCAAGTCATGGCAACTGTCTGAGCCGAGGACCGTAGCGACCTGGAAGGACACCTCATTGCTACAGTTCTGCAGTGACTATCAGAGCCAGCCATTGCTTTGAGAAACTGGTGCTGGGTCACATCATGGAGTGCATGCCAGCAGCTACTTGGATCCATTCCAGTTAGCCTCCAAATCAAAGAGACCCACAGAACATGCTGTGGCCATGGCCCTGCACACTGCCCTGACCCACCTAGAGCAGCAGGGAAGCCATGCCAGAAGGCTCTTTGTAGATTTCAGCTCAGCTTTTACTCCTGTAAATAAACATACTCAAATATATATATATATATATATATATATAAAAAAAATATATATATATATATATATATATATGTGTGTGTGTGTGTATGTATATATATATATATATATATATATATATATATATATATATATATATATATATATATATATATATATATATATGTGTGTGTGTGTGTGTATTCATACATGCTGACAAGCTGCATTAACCAGGAAATGTAGTCTGAGGGATCATCCCGAGTTCTCAGGGAAGTCCAGCTTCCCTACATAATTGTAGATCGAACCCCACAGGTCATCATTTTTACTCCTTCTGCCCTTCATTAGGAATCTGATTTTCTCCAGTCTAGCAAAGTAGAGGGTTTTTCTGATCCAATGTGTGTGTGATGGTTGTGATTCAGACCTCTATTTTAAAAGAATGAGACGTCGAGCTAATAAGTGAAAGCTGCAAATGCCTCAATTCTTGAGGACAGTTTTAGAGGAAGGAGTGACCCCAAACAGAGAAATGGTAGCTGTAGGCCCAATCCACACCCCAATAATCTCTGACAAAGACAAATATCTGCTTCCAACATGCCTTTAAGTCTGGGCATGACCACATCATATGCCCATAATCTGCTGATGACTGGTCACAGCAGTGGCATGTCTGTGGCCTTCTACTGCTCAGTTGTAATATTGTTTTGTGCCACTAGAGGCCGCAAGAGTGCTGCTATTAAAGCATGATTAAACCACGAAAGAGGCAAGGCAGCTTTATTTCTAGAGCAAATTTCAAACACAGAGGCAATTCAATGTGCTTTACAATCATCAGGACATGATATGAAAACAACATAAAAACACAAATTAAAATGCACACAGATAGAATTACAGTTTAGAGCTAAAGGAGAAGACAATGTTACAGCACAGGTTACAGTGGAGACGATGCAGCAGGAGAAACGATTCATGTAAAGGCTGATGAGTACATGAGGGTTTTAGTTGTGTTTTAAACAACACTAGGGTTGGGGCACATCTGAGGTCATGGGGAAGCTGATTACATATGTGAGCAGCATAGTAACTAAATGAATCTCCACCATGTTTGGTTCTGACCCGAGGTTCTACCAGCTGATTGTTTCCAAGGGATCTCAGAGCCCTATTGGGTGTTTATACAGGAAAGAGATCGGACTTGTATTTTGGTCCCATGCCATTGAGTGATTTATAAACTAGTAGGGTTTTGTATGCAGCTATAAACTCTGTGCTGAATGTGGAAGATTACACCGGGGACACACCAGCCGCGGAAGCGCTGCGAAGCGCCGACAAGCGAATCGCTCACGAAATTCGGCCGCTGCTTGCCGCTCCTTAGTTCAGATCAGACGCGCCCCAGTCAAGGCGCGCCTCGGCTCAGCTGTAGTTTTTCTTTTAAACACTTGGTGTCCTCCATTTCCTCTCTGCCTTTTCTCAGCTCTTCCTCTACGTTTGAGTGTGTGCGTGTGCGTGTGTGTGTGTGTGTGTGTGTGTGAACCTATGGTATGAGTTGTTTCTGCCAGTTGAATCTCTTGGAACCCGCTCCAATTCTGCAGCTGTATCCTAGCAGTTTCTTCCGAAATGGGTACGTAAATAACCATGTTTTTCGGGGGTCGTACAGCTCCTTGTGTTTCTCAACTTCCATAATTAATTTAAAGTCATCCATCTTAACTGCTTGCCTCAGACTTTCTGCCTCTCTGTCCTGTTTGCTCCGGTGAAAAGACACCCAAAACCACACACCCCTTCACGCACACAAGTTCAATGTGTGTGTGTGTTCGTGTGGTTTTTCTGCAGTGTCTGATTACGGACACATTTGACTATTGCGGAATTTTATTTTGAAATGCTTTATTTTGTTAACTTTACCGGCCTGCCTCGTATGTCTAGGTTTGACTTCCTGCCAGAATTGACGCGATTCACTCGCGGCTCACGAAAAAAATAGAGCCAACGCCGAAATGATCGCTGCACGGCGCGGGCTGGAGCGCCGGTGCGAGGCGGCCCATGTGGTCTATAGAATAGCTTAACAAGGGCGCCGAATGAAGGCGGTCCCATTTTCGCGGCGCTTCCGCGGCCAGTGTGTCCCCGGCGTGACTCACCTGTACAGGCCTCCGACTCTGTGTGTAACAGTTTTCATCAATTTTTTATCAACAAGGTGGCGATGCTGCGAGACGCCATGCCTAAATCTAGTGTGTTAAGCTCCTCTACATCTTTTGAGGAACGCCTGGTCTCTTTGTCCAGTATCACTTGCGGAGTTCACCAGTCTGTTTAAACAGGCTAAACCTAGTGGGTCACCAAAAGATATTTTACCCCCGCGTTTGCTTAAGAAAGTTTTTAAAACAGTTGCACCAATGATTTAGCATATAATCAATAACAGTTTGGCTTCTGGTTTTGTACCGACGGATTTAAAAAAAAACAGTTATTCACCCACTTTTAAAAAAACCTGGGATGGATGTTTTCTTACCAGTGAACTATAGGCCAATCTCCAAGCTCCCTGTTTTGGGTAAGATGCTGGAAAAATGTGTCTACTCTCAACTCATGGACTTCTTTAAGGACTTTGATATTTTAGAGACCCTCCGATCAGGTTTTAAAATGTTGCATAGTATGGAGACTGCCCTTATCCAGGTCTTTAATGACATTCTTTTAGCAACAGACACTGGCAGTCCAGTGCTGCTGGTCCTATTGGATCTTACAGCAGCTTTCTATACCGTAGACCACAAAGTGTTGCTCCATCGCATTGAACATTATGTGGGAATTTATGGACAGCCCTAAACTGGTTCAGATCTTATTTACATGACAGGATGGTTTGTGTGAGGATGGGTGGCTTCTCATCGGGCTTCTCACATCTGCCATGGGGGATACCGCAGGGTTCAATACTGGGACCCTTGCTGTTTTCAATTTATATTCTCCCATTGGGTAACATTTTACGAAAGTTTGGAATTGGATTCCATCTCTATGCGGACGACTGCCAATTGTACTTGCCTCTAAATGGCGCCGGTGATCACACGATAAAAATTTTTTAGATTGTCTGGCAGAAATTAAGATATGGTTGGCAGAAAACTTCCTGTGTCTCAATGGGAAAAAACAGGCACTGTTGTTTGGTCTGAGTGGACATGTTGATTTTTCAAACGTAGACTGCAGTGAATTGAACTCATATTTGGGTGTGTCAGCAGTCAACCTTGGCGTGAAGATGGACAGTGCATTCTGCATGGATGCTCATGTAGGTACTGTAGTATCCTCTTCATTTTATCATTTAAGATGTCTGGCTAAAGTAAAGCTGTTTTTATCTAGACGTGACCTTGAGACTATTGTTCATGCTTTTATTACCTCACGACTCGACTATTGTAATTCCATTTTATTTGGTGCAAGCAAGGTTACTGTAAACCGGCTGCAGCAAGATTCTCGTACAAGAAAAGAAAGCTTGAACACGTGACACCAATTTTGGCTGCTCTCCACTGGTTGCCTGTTGATTTTAGAATTCGTTTGAAACTTCTTTTAATAGTGTTTAAGGTGCTGAATGGTGTGGCTCCAGCCTATTTGGCGGAGTTGCTGCAGCCATATGTTCCGGCCCGGTCACTCCGCTCCGAGAACCAGCTGCTACTTGTGGCTCCTAAGGCCAGATTGAAGTTGAGAGGGGACAGGGCTTTCTCTGTTGCGGGTCCGAAACTGTGGAACGCACTGCCCCTACCATTAGGGGCTCTCCATCGGTAGCGGTTTTTAAAATGAG